CCCCCCCCGGATTATCCCTTTTGTAGAAGAGTTGTTTTTTTTTCTTTTTAGTTGTGGTGCATACCTACGGTGAATCTGCCGCTGTGGGGATTTGCGCGCAGCAATCACATCTTGCCTTCAAGAGTTGATCTCACTATGACCCTTGGGCAATAAGCACCTGGGAGGGCTGTAGACACCTGTGCTGTTGAGTCTCTCAGTGTATGTAAGCTGTCAAATTGGTCTGGGAACAAAGAAAACTGTGTTTCTAGTGAAATGGGCAGTGTCCTTTGATGGTCCCCAGTCTTGGAGAGGTCTTTGTTAATATTCTTAGACTGTGGACTTTTAAAGGTAAAATGTAACAATTTAATGTTTTTAATTCATTGAATCTGAGGTTCTAAAGCAATCTATAGCTACAAACTATGGTGTGAAACATTTGCAGCACAAATCTACATTGTTAGTCATTTCTCAAGCTTTAAGTAGTTAGCTAGTTTGTAAAATGATATCTTGGCCTATGCTTTTGTGATATTTAGGAATAGGCTCTGGATGGCAGCAAATGAAAGCAAAGTAAAGGTTTTCAATGGTGAATGAAATTGAGAGAGGCAGTGACTATTCCTGAGCAGTTTGGTTGGTGAGATGTACTAATACAAGCGAGAAGCAGTGGACTCGCACTCTTGGTGTACTTTACATAGATATGCACTGATAGAAAAGCACAGAAGACATCTCACCACTGTCCTAGGGCACTGCTGTCTTTACTGTTCAGTTTAGGCCTGTGTTTGGATCTTGCGCAAGTATCTTTTAGTTTAAAATGCAAGTGTCCAAAGAACTGCCTTTAATGTTACTTTTTTTGTATATTTCACTTCAGAGTTAGGACAGGAGACAGCTAATCTGACTTCCATTTGATAGATATTATAAACTCTTTTTCTTCAGTAACAAATAGGGGAGGAAAATAAAATCATGAATTATTTTACATATATGTGTGTGTGTATATACACACACACATATTTTATAATTGTTTTTGAAGTTTGCTTATTGGCTTAATATAAAAATTGTCTTTTGGTAGGTATTGACTCATACGATTCAGATTATGAATTTTACTTGTTGGCTTTAATGAATATTTCAAACAGTCTTATTTCAGAATAAAATGATTAATCAAATGGAATTATAATTCATGTGTTACCTAAAAGTGAAATCTTCTTATGTAAGTCTTTTATCTAAGCAAAATAAGGGCATACTCTTTAGTTTGGATGGGGAAGGGAGGTAAGAATTGACTTTTTATACCCTGCCTATTTCCAAAACAAGTTATACCGTGGGGACTATGTAATGTTCATTGGAAGATGTGTAGTACTAAAACAACTTTCTTGGGAATCATTTTAATCTGAAAAAGGTGAAGATATTTATCCTGAGTCATGTTAAACAAATTATTTTATTTGGAACAGAAAAAAAATGATGAAATGGTTTCACTAAGTATATGATATTCAGTTGAGAAAACTGGACTTTAGAATAAATGTGATAACGAAATAGATTTGTAAACTTTATTCAGTAATCACTTTTGTCTTATGTGAAATGATTTAACATTTATTTTTTTGCCTTAATTATAGCAACAATTTTATTACTTTACCTTAGGGCATTTTAATGTTTGGAGAAAGACTGTGTAAGTAAACTTTACATTGGAGTGAATCTGTCTATAGTAGTAATGAAATTCTTGGTACTTGTTTTCATTAACATTGTCAAACATTCAGGGAGAGCAAAAAGGGAACCCCAAAATACCTGTTGGGTTCGCCCTCTATAACCGTTGATACTTTAGGGCAGATTTATTATATTTCTGGATTTATTACGTTCTGGCTGAACAGTAGCTTCCGTCTCTTTCCCTTGGTGGTAATGACCGATTTTCACTTATATTGGGCAAGACTATCATAAATAAAGGAGTTACTCATGTTTATGAATTTAAATGTTTGTAGAATTACTGCACTTCCAAAGTTGACTAGAAATACCAGCTGTACTCTCCTGAGAAAATGAACAAATTTCTTATGTCTTATCAGTTATGATGTTCTTTTTGATGTAACACCAATTTAGAAATTACAAAATACAATTTGGTGAATGGTTTTCTTTGTATTTTAAAACTTTTTTTTCAGTTGATTGTTCAAATATTGGCTTTCTGTAAAAACATTATCATTTCAAATTTTGACTGTAGTGCAATATCAATAAATTTGCTGCTTGGGCAGTTTTACTTACTACCTTTTAACTTGTTTTCTGCTGTTACTTGTTATTATAGGTTCCAAGTTGCTCATGTTATGGTTGCATCTCTTTGGACCAATAAAACATGACAAGTATGAGAAAAAGGTATGTTTATATGATAGGAAGAAATATTAAAACGTAGAGTGTCTCTGCAATGAAAATAAAGAACTGGTATATATTTCCCATCTCAAACAATTACAGTTTGGTGGTGGTTTTAAAGATTTTAGTGTTGGATACATAAAATCCAGCAGTTCTTGAATTTGTACTAGAATCAGGTTTTTAATGATTGACAGTCCTTGGATCTCAGAGTAGAAAGAAATACATTTTCTTCTGGAGACCTTAATAATTTTATTTAAAATGGTTAGTGACCAAGGTATTATACTCTTATTGTCAGAGATAGTTTGTTTTGATAGTGAGAACTGATGTTGCAGAGCTGCTTACCATCCTTTCTTGTAGTCATATATGACTTACTTGTATTTACAATTCTTGATTATATTCCCTGTTTCAGTGATGTCTTACTAGGAAAAAAAAAATCCTTTAATAACTTCCCATTCATACCAAACTGGAAAAGGCAGCCAAATAGAAAGTGATAAATGAGGTTTTTTTGGTTATTTTGACCTAATATTATGTGATATTTACATATTAGAAAAACAAACAGTATAATAAAAGGACAGCTTTTACCTTTTAATGAACACAGTTAAAGTACATCATGGAATTAGAAATATTTATTCAGAATATAAGAATGTAAAATATTATAAATGTCTCTGTATAAATAAATGGAGATTTTAAAAAACAATTCTATATCAAATAACACAAAGTAGCTATTTTACAGAAGCTAAAACTAAAGGCATCTGGAGACATTTAAAGCATACAAATGAAGAATCTAAAAAATTACAAGGTATAGTACAGTGCTAAGTGGCCACTTTAAAATGAAACTTCAGTATAAACAGTAGAACAATACTGACAAATGCAAACTTAGTCACATGTGCTTTAATAACTGACAGTACATTCAAGCAGTTTTTTCTAATAGTTCAAGTGGTTTAAAAGTAGCACATTTTCAAATAATAGGAAACTTAAATCTCATGCAAAGTAAATAAGTCTTGACAATGTCTAAAAACTCATCAGAAATAGAAGAGAACATGTTTCATTATCTTGGCATAGGACCAACAAAAGCAGATTATTGGGGGCTCATTCACTTGGCAGTTCTGACGTGAACACAGTGAATACCAGGAGTTCTACAAACAACATTTTCTACATGGATTTGATTTGCAAAAAGTGCAAAAGTGAATGTAGAGCAGGAACAACTACGCAGGTCATCAGTGTGAATGTGGGGGAATTTTGTATGTAGTTCGCTCTGTTCTGCTGAGCTGATACATCAGATGATTAGTAATAATCATCTGAATGAGTGATGTGCATCTACCTTGACTCTGGAAAAATCGAGTACTCCTGGTCAAGGATATGGTTATCCAATAACATTTGCTGTTACTGGGACACAGTGATTTCTTGTCATGGTCGCACGTAAAATCTCAGATGTGAGCAATACTCCAGCTTGTACCCTTTTCCACTTGGTGATAACTCTGATTCCAGTTCTAAAAAGTTAGGGCTGACAGCCTAAAGCATATATCTATTAGTGAATACAAATGTACTTAGAAAGTAACTTTAAGTGTGTGAAATGGGAACTGCAGAAGGCCACAGGTTCAGGGCTAACTTCCACCTGTCCTGTATACACACAAGGTTTTGTTAAACCAGTGAGAACAGTGAGTGCAGCAGAGACATAATTTTCATTTTGTAATAAGTTTGGTCTCTTACAAAGTAGTGCCCAGCTTCTGAGCAGTAGGGAGTTTGCAAGCCTCTATTATTTCTTGACAAATAGGACATTCTGTTGGATAGAGAAAAACTTGCTATATGATTTTTGCATATTTTTTAGTGTCACCTATTAAAAAGTTACTTATATCCCCCTTTCCCCCCAAAANTTTTGCATATTTTTTAGTGTCACCTATTAAAAAGTTACTTATGTCCCCCTTTCCCCCCAAAACTTGCCAATACAATGACTATACTCTAATTAAATTTAATGCAAAACTTTTAATTATCAGAACTTGCCCCCCTTTTGGCCTCTAGAAACTATAGCTGTTTGCTGCATCTAGAAATAGATGCAGCTGTGAACATGATGAAATTTTCACTTTAAATAGTTTCATGGATGAGACATATTCCCAGTTATGCATTTGCAAATGACATAAAGCTTTTCGGAGTCTTACGACTTTCAGAAGTCCTTTATAAAAGTTTGGGTGTTTCTTGAGGTTTTGATGTCTTTCTCATCACTTAAAACACAAGCATTGTACCCTAAACTCTTGAGAGGTCTGAGTTAAGATAATGAGTGATAGAATTAATTGTTGTGGGCCATGAGAAAACACCTTTGAGAACAGGCAACTTAGAGGTTCTTAATTCATGCCAGTGACATAGGCAGTCCAGCCCAGATCAGGTAAATGAAAAAAATACCCCATGGTTGAAATGTAATCTACATGAAGCTAAGAACTAGGAGACTTTCAGATAGTTTCAAGTTTTTCTTAGAGTAGTAAAATCCTTACTAGCCACATCCTAATGGTTTTTAAGACAGAGCCTTATTGGCTCTAATTTGGAATGCCTTTCTCTAGTAGTAGAATGTCAAGGCCCTAATTCCAAGTTCTCTGAGGTTCCTGTAAAGTATGGCTGTAGGCTCAGAGGAAAACTCAGAAGTGCGTGTACCTCAAATGAGAATTAAGCAATTATATTTAACTGGCACTTAATTTTTTATTAACCTAACATCTCCAGTTTCAGGCAGTGGATATTAACTTCAGAAACCTGACATGCCAGCAGATGAGAGTGAGTATGAAACAGTTAATTACCTGTACTGGCAATGATGAGACATCAAGTATACCTCTGGGGCTAGAGCATGACGAGTGTCAACTGTCTGATAACACAGATATTTAATCATGAGTAATTTGTAGGTGGTAAGATTCTCTTTGACACTTTCACCTAAAGTCCTTGGCAGTTTTGGTAGCTGGAGCATCAGATGCAGTTGGTAGGCCCACACGTTGATGGCGCACTAGCTCCAGACAGATTTTTCTCATCTATGGTTTTTGCCTCAATTCAGCAGTGGGATATACACTCCAAGTGAACTGTGAAATGGGTCTTCCCATGCCCTTTGCTCTAAGAGCCAACAGAGAACATAACTGCCGAAAAGGGGTAAGAAACCACTGAGGAAACTGGAAGAAAACAAAAATGTGGAGGTCTAAAGGTTTTTCTAAAAACCTTATACAAGTTAGAATTAAGAACATTGTTTTACCCCTGATGGAAATGTTAACGTAAAAAGAAAATTATTGCAGGTGCCTGGGTAATCAGTGCAGTTTTAGTAGGCTCCACAATTAGCATAACCAAGTGCCTGTTGGTTCACCTTCAACAAGGATTGTGTCTTAGGGAGTATTTGAAAAATACAAGGAAAGGGAATCAACTATTTAATGATATATATATTTATTCTACACATTTATAAAAGTAACAGTTTTACTGGGGACATAGTTTCCACCCAATCACCACATATTTGAAAAGTATTATGTTGAAGTATAAACTCAAAATGAGGCCAGATAGTTTCAGTAATATGGGGCTCTTAATGGAATAGCCGAGACTTTCCGGTCTGGAAGGGTCACATGACCCTAAAAGGATGGGTTGTCTGTTTTAACTTGGACTTGACTCCTGTCAGGAAGCCATGAGTGCACGCTCACCTTGCACATGCTCCCAGTTTGCTTAGAGGAGGACATTTCTCTAGGGAAGCTGGAAAAATGGGGAAAACTGCAAGTTTTGTCTATTAAACCATCTTTGGACATACTTTTCAGCCAAAACATTTTACTTGTGACAACATGAAATTTTACCTAAAGAGTACAAATTGATTTTAAAAATCACTTACAGGAACCAGGAGGCACTTCTCAGTGATCTAAGCATCCAAAAGCTGGTTCTTCCAGACCGTTGACCTTTTGAAGATTGGGCAGCCTCACTGCTTACCTGAGAAAGTTGGTCACTTTTGGGATAAACTCTGCCCTCCAAGCTGGTGGCTAGAGTGTCCTTCCCCATTGTGCAGAAGGCTGAGGACCTTGATTCATGCTCTCTGAAAACACATTTAGCTTGTGGCCACGGGGACGCTAATGCAATAACCTGGTCATAAGCAAAACTTTGTGAACTGTGGCACTGGGGTGGATCTTCAGGTGCTACAGAATAAATGGCAAGTGTCCCTTTAAAATGTCTCTGTAGGGCAACTACAGAAGGAAATGAAAGGGTAAAACAGTGAAGGTTACAGTAGAAAAGGAATAATGAATTTAAGATGGAAGCCCTTCCTGAAAGAATTCAGGTACTTTGGTCCTACCTAGCCCTGTCAGCATTTTGCTTGAAATTTAACCTGTTAATAACCATCACCAAGTCTCGGGGGATAAAAGGAGGCCTCAAGGACCATTCCCTCACCCCCTGCCCTTCATAACACCTTCATAACAGCAGGAGCGAAGTCTTAAACTTGGTGGTTCAGTAGCAGTCTCTTAAATAGGTGGGATCAGCCTGCAAAACATTATCTACTCAGTGTCCTGTCTCTTGCCTTTAGAGAAAGAGAGGCAGGTTCAGAGCTACATACATACTCCTATGGAGGAGCTTTGATTCATGCAAACAGCAATTATGTAGTGCCCTGGGGTGGGCAGAAAGCACTAAAAATGCTCCTTTGCTCTTGAAAAAATTCCAGATAAAATTTTAGTTCTAATACATGTATCAACAGGATTCTCCCAGCTCTACGCCTTGGCTATTGATAAGGCTCCGCTGGGTACGGGCAATGGCAAAGTCACATGAGAGCTGAAGGCACACAGAATTGTTCAGGCACAGCCCTGGGGTTGCTCTGTCTAGCACTTCATCTCTAGGACTGTAACACCTATGTACCATCCTCCTGTATCTGAGTTGACATGTGGGACTTGAAAACCAGAGCCTTCCTGCGGTAAGCAAATCTAGATACAAAGACACATATACACCCCTGTTGTGTGTCCGTTTTCCCCTGAAGGAGAGGGAAAGAGAAGAAATTGGGGATGCCAGAGATAAGGTCACTGTCTACCAAACAGAAGAAAAGAGTGGGAAATCCTATAAAACAAATGCCTGGGACACCACTGACGCACAACCTCCAGAACAGAAAAGGTGGGAGAGTGACAAAGCCAGTGCTGGAGGCGGAAGGAGGCCTGCTGAGCATGGCACACAGCAGGCGTCTACGTGCCATCCGTGGGGCTAGAAGGCAAGAGCAGGATCCGCAGGATACAGCCTAGTGTCACCGGGGATGCTCACCTCCAGGGCCGAGTCCGTGGCACTCCACTGTCCAAGTGCTGACCTACCTGCCAACTGTCCTTAACTCTCCCATCAGGTACTCTGTCCCCGGGCCCTTCGCTCTCCGGTGACCTGCTGTAGTTTAGCTTCCGTGGGCAGAACTCTGGTGCCCGAGCGCCGATTAAAGTGAAGTTTCATTGGTGTGTGGCCTGGAGTTCTCCTCCTCCAGCAGAGCTATTCTTTGCTTGAGCATCCTTACTTGGGTCTCGTGTCTCTCCACCATGGCCATCATCTGAGACTCCAGCTTCTTGAGTTTGTTTTGGTGCTTTTTCTTTGCTTTCTCATAGGCAGCCACCAGGTTGCTATGTGGGAACAGAAGGAAAGGAGGTTCACCTGAGGTAGCACTGAGACACACTGCCCTGTCCCCTGGGTAGCCAATGCCAGTAAGCACCACTCTGAAGAAACAGGCCCTCAGCCTCTTCAGGAAGACTGAAATCAAGTGGTTAGCATTTCAACACTCACGGCCATTCATCTCTTGGCTTAGCCGTGATTGACTCAGCCTGACTGCTAGACGTTGTCACTAACACTGAGAGAGATTTAAACCAATGATCCAAACTAGCCACATCCAAAATAAGCAGAAAGGGAGCTCAATTCCAGAAATCTGTCATTTAAATACAAATACTGTGTCTGTTACAGGAAAGAGTTCCTCACTGTAGTCTAAGTGACCTCACCTAGGATGAGGGCAGGGCAGGGCAGCTACGAGGACTTCCCTTTGTTCTGTGGACTGGTGGATTCAGAGCGCACAGGCCATAAGCTAGCACCAAACAGAATATGGGCTTCTGTGAACTGTCCCCCCTGGGAGCCTAGGGCTAGGTAAATCCTGATGCCCTCTGTGGTCGAAAGTAGCACCCCACACCCCTTCCATGTGCACTGAAGACTGACCCCTGAAAGCCCTTTTGTGAGGGGTGGGGTCTGTGAGGTCCTGTATTTTCTACCTATACTCTGTAAAGCTGGTTTTCTTGATCTATTTTCAAAATGATACGAAGCATTTGTGAGATTCTAGCTGTCTTCCATTAAACTAGACACTAGAGATTTGCAAAACTAAAAATAGCACCACTCCTCTATTTTTTGTAAAGTAGTTATTTTTAAAAATAAAGGCCATTTGTATTACATGTAAAGAATTTAGTGGTTTTTTAAGTAAATGAATTAATAAAAACTTAAAAAAATTGTACTGAAGTTTCTAAACGAGAAGTGTCAAAAGATAGGGCCTTGAGTATAAAGGGGTCCTGAGCCCAAAAAGTCTGAGACTGCTGACTCAGAGCAATGCTTCTAAAGTGTTCCCACTGGGTAGTAAATGTTGCTCAAATAAAAGGTTCTGGCTCCAATTTTGTTTGGAAAACATTGGCATAAACACATAGGTTTTTTAAAAAATTGCTTGACTTCTCAGAACTTTTACTGTATGAAGTATTAAGAGGGGACAGACCACACACTGTATTTCCCAAACACACTTGGCGCAAGGACTTGTCTTTACCAAGCACTTCTTAGGTTTCTGGGAAACTGTGCCGTAGGGAAGACCAGGCTCTAAGAAGGGCAGGTGAGGACTTGCCATTCTCAAGCGTGGGCTCCCAGCAATTATGGAAACATCCTCCCTGGTGTGTGAGTCCAGGTACCACCCGGGATACACAAACCGGGGCGGGGGAGAGGGGTTGGTTACCTGTTGGCTCTCTTCAGGTCATTAACGAACTCCGCTGATTGCTGGTGCCGGATTTCACTGCTCTTGGTGAGTCTCTCCAAGGCACTCACCAGCTCTTGAACTCTGGCCTTTAACTTCTTTTCTCTGTCAAGGACAGACAGCATGCCATGAGTGATGAGATGATGGAGATGGCTGCTGCCCTGGAAGTGTTCAGCTTGCCAAGTCGAAAGGCGGGCACAGAAAGGAAGATACTGGAGGACACAAGAGCTCCCTTTCCCCTTAGCGGAGCCAGAACCCCTCACCTCTGCAGTTTTGAAGGCTGATTTGAGCATGCTTCCTATAGTGATAAGGGCCTTCCAGATGGAGAAACTGAGCTAATCTAGAAGTTCCTTTCTGGGGGCATGCCAGGCCACAGCCCCGTCTCGGTCTCCACACCTTCCAGGTATCCTAAGCATCTGACCCAGTCGTATTCAAGAACAGAAACCTCTGCTCTAGGCAGCCTACCTGGACAAATCTCTACTCATTGAAATCAACATGATCCTGCCTTGCAAAAAAAACCAACGAAAAGCTAGAGGGAGTAGAATTGGTATTATTCTCATTTTAAAGGTCCTTGTTTCCCTTTAAAGTAGTTAAATTATATTTGCACTCTGATTTGACTCTGCCCACTCCATGGCTTCACTTTACTACTATAGTAACCCAAGTTAACTGACTTCGGAGTCAGTTACAGGAGGTTTCTGGGGTCCATTCAGCCTATTGCCTCCCTCTGATTCCCACAAGCACACCCCAGGCAGGGAAACAATGACGACCAGCCTGCCTCAATCTCACACAGCATCCCTGCATAGTGTCACACGTCACACCCGAGTGCCGTCTGCCATGATCTGCTTTTATGTATTTGAGCTCCACAGGTTCCCCCACTGGCACATAGGCCCTTGGGTTGCAAGGATCTTACTTGGTTTGGTTCCCCATGTGTCCCCAGTGCTGAGCATGCCATGCCTGGGTGGCAGCTTCTCAGTGACAGTGATTAAAACAGCTTCAGAACAACTCACTGAAGGTATTGGAGCAAACTAAGAAGCCAGAATTTATAGAAGAAATTCCTCTAAAAAGATCTCACTGTGAGTGTGTGAGGAATGGGAATTGGCGTGATCATTTTGGAAGGCAACTTGGCAGTATCTAGCAAGTGAAAAATGAACACATCCCTTGACTAAACAACTTGATTTCTAGGAATTTTTCTTACAGAAATAGGGTAGGTGCAGAAAGATACATGAGATTACAGTTGCATTCACTTTAGCATTGGTTATAACAGCTTAGAGGGAGAACAATCAGGTTAAGGTATATCTGTCCCACTCTGCAACTTAAAAAATGCAGATCGAAATGCCCTGGCATGGTAGCTGATAAACTATCAAGTGAAAAGGGTGAGATCTATTGGGTGACATTTTTGGAAAAAAATGACTAAAAATCTGATATACTAACAATAGACCTGAAGGCTAACCACCACTCAGCACAGGTTAACGCACAGAAGAGGGATGGCAGAAGGCTTTCATTGTCTACTTGACTCACTTTTGCATTCCTTGAAATTTTTCTAACTTAGCATGATTTTGTAAAGGACTTGAGATCCGTGCTTCCTGTAGGAGGGGCAGGAAGGTGACGTGGGGTGGAGGACTCTCAAATATCTAATCTTTTACATTTCTGCCTCTAGCTACTATTAGTGCAAGTCAAGCTTTCCCAACAGTAATAAAGGAATTGCAACCGAAAAACCCTGGGCTGCTCTGTAAGCGAGGTTGAAAGGGGAAAGATCTTTTAAAGTGAATTCTACCAACCAGCCCCGAGTTCCTCTGACTCTTCGTTCTTCAGAGAGCCCTCCCTCCCACCGAGGACCCTGCAGAGCTTTCCCGGCAAAGTGTCCCACCTGCTGGGGAAGTGGGCTTTCCACTGGGCCCCAGCAGCCACCAGGAAATTTGGTTGCAGTTCCTGCAGGAATCTGAGAGTGGCACCATTTCCCACCAGAAGGGAGAGCGGCTGCCTCCCTCCCTAACCCATCTCAGCCTCCTGGGCAGCCCTCCATCAGCTGAGGAAGGTTAGGAGAGCAAGAAGGATTTCCCCCCTTTCCTCTGTCTAAAATAATTAAAATAATTAAAAAGAATATGGAAGGGTTATTTCTCCTGCATCTTGTTAGTTCTGATTCTCTTCTAAAGTTGATGAATAGTGCAAATGGGGGGAAAAACGTGAGTAGAATTAAAAATGTCAACACGAACTCAACAAATTCACAGTAAAAATCTGCCCAGAGAAATACCATTATCCCCCACCCCCAATGACACCCATACCCCTGCCCCACCCTGCAGACAGGGCTAATGGGGAATCCCAGCCCCCAACAAAACAAAGCGCTTCCTTCCCTAGTACCCAGGCCCCTGAGAGACCAGAGCGAGCTCTCCCGTCCTGGCAGGTTCTTGCGAGGGACAAGAACCCAGGAAGGCAGGAGAGGCCCTCAAAGCTGCTGCCCCCCATCTAGGGGTGGGGAGTGACGGGGATGGCTGAGGGGAGCCACTGCCAGGAGCTGAGCACTGCCTCCGAGAACTCCCTAGGCCTCGGGGAAGGGAGTGAACTGCTCATATTAACTACAGCACAGAGTGAGGGTGCCAATTTATTTAAAGGTAATAAAGACAGGCTACACTTCAAATTTAAACCTAAAATGCGGGCTGCTTTATCTGTTTTCATTTGCGTGAGGCAGATGCCTGCAGTAAAAGTCGCCTCCATTGTTGCTCATCTGGACCGAAACAAATACTAAGCCGCTGAGAAGCAACCACTGGCCCCGCGCCTCCCGCACAGCAGCCAGTGTGGGTGGGCACCCGAGCACTAGAAACGTGGTTGGTCTGAAATGGGATGTGCCATAAGTATAAAGTACACAGTGGGATTTAATAAGAAAAAAAAAAAAAAAAACTAAACTAAAATATTGCAATAATTTAAAAAATATTGACTACATGTTGAAATGGTAACATTTTAGATATATTGGGGTAAATATGTTATTAAAGTTAATTTCACCNGCAATAATTTAAAAAATATTGACTACATTTCGAAATGGTAACATTTTAGATATATTGGGGTAAATATGTTACTAAAGTTAATTTCACCTTTATTTTTTTTAACAGTTCTAAATGTGGCTATTGGAAAACATAAAATGACACAGGTGGCTTGGTGTGATTTTACTAGTTCCAGAGCACTGATTACCCAGTCCAGTAGGTTTGGGTGAGCTCTAGGAATTGCAGTTTAAGAAGTGCTCTGGATGATTCTTACTATCAGGCACATTTGGGAAACGGGTAAGGCAGAAGGGCTCTTCACCTGGGTCTGTGGATGAGTTTCAAGAGGTCTCGGAACTCGGTCTATAGGCACGATTACCCTCACGGGTACACTTTCCACAGTATGCAGTATGGACTTCCTCAGACTCTTAAATTGAGACGACCCCAGTAGGGACCAAAAGCCTGCTAATCCAAGTCGCTTTGGAACCTCAACCACTCATGTCCAGTTCCTTCTAGTTTCCAGTTCAAATCTGCTTGGCCTTCAGCTAAGGAAGAATTGATCTAGTTTGTCCAGGCCAAAATGAGCCCTTTCACAGGCTCCACAACGATAAGAAAGTGAAAATTAAACACTACGTGTTCTGTTTGCTCCTTCGATAGTAACACATTCATTCATATACCAAGAACTGCATAATCCCTTCCTTCCTTCCTTGTTTCTTTTTTACTCCCAGAAGTACAAGTACTCAAGCTACACGCCCATATCATCAAGTACAAAGACAGTGCTGGGTCACACCATTACTGTGAACGCCCAAGCCACCCAGCACCCACATGGGCTCAGTTACAGGTGTTCCTGCTCCACCAAAAAGGAAGGTTATTTCTGGTCACAAAAGGTCCCTATGAAACTTACTCTAACCACACAGCCAGGGAGGTCGCTTTTTTCCTTTTTAATTGAAACACGATTTTAGGCAGTGGCATATACACTGGGGATTTGAGGCAGACTCCTGGTGGGAGTTTGCAGGTGATGAGAAAAACCAGGTGGCTTGCCAGTGAGCTGGGCAGGAGACGGAGCCACGCAGGCCTCTGCGGCTGTGCTGGTCATTGTGCCTGGGGAGCCTGGAAGCAGGGCTTTCCGAGCAATTAGGGAGGAGGTGGCACTCTCCCTGAAATAAAAGGCCAGCCACAGTCCTTTAATCACAAAGTCCAAATGAGGGGCCGGGGGAGTGAACAGGACCNGAAATAAAAGGCCAGCCACAGTCCTTTAATCACAAAGTCCAAATGAGGGGCGGGGGGAGTGNAAATAAAAGGCCAGCCACAGTCCTTTAATCACAAAGTCCAAATGAGGGGCCGGGGGAGTGAACAGGACCAGAGCCCGGGTTTGATGAGGTAGTGAGTGGCTTTGTAGCCACCAGAAACCTCTCAGAGGAGCTGTAATCAGACTAGACCGCAGGGAGTCACAGCCATGCAGCCACAAGGCCTGGAATCTCTTAGCAATTGCTCATTACACGGAATTAGTCACTGAGAGCATTGCCTGCCTGTGCAGTTCCTCTCTCCCTTACCTTCCATGTATCCGTTAACCCAGTTGGGCTCTGTCTCCACTGAAGCTGCTCACGAGGTCACCACTGCTGTTGCCACAGTGGCACCTTCTCCTCTTGAGCATGTCTTTCCAAATTTAACATGTCTAAGGCAGGACTTCTGAGATGCTCTTCCAAATCCATTCTTCCTCCCTTGCCAGCAAATGACAACACCCTTCGCCCACTTGCTGACACTAGTCAGCCGCCACTCCTCCCTTTCTATGGACTTCCACGTCCATTCAGTAGCAAACCCCACCTACCAAAACTCCATTCCTGCCACCATCACCCAGGGCCATCATTTCTCACCTGCGTGACCTCAGAGCCTCCTAATGGTTTCTCTGCTGCCCCTTTGCACTCTTCTAGTCTGGTTTTCACAGCATCCAGAAGAATTTTTTCATATGACAAATCAGATCAGATTACTATCCTTCAGTACCTTACGCCTGCAGTTTGTGGTCTTTCTTCGACCTATAAGGCCCTGCTCAACCTGCACCCTGCCTGCCCAGGTTTTGGCATCCTCTCCCCCTTGCATGCCAGAATTCCATCAATTCTTAGCTCACACCAAGCT